ACGGGTTCAGAAACGTGTGGAAAACACAGCGATGATGAGTGGAACATCATCGACAAATCCCAAGCGGAAATTATGATTATGGCACCTAAAGAAACATATACTGTACGATGCACAACGATCACAAAAAGATTGCCCAAATTAAATTTAAATCCCAAACGCTGTATTCGAAAACAAGTGATTTAATTTTTTCCCCCACATCAAGAACTGCGAAAAAAGAAGAGCGAGTCCGGAAAGCTGAAGAAAACCCGCGATGGCAGAAATTTCCTGCGGCGGAGAATCAAGGGAGAAAATATTTCCGAGCTCCTGACAAAAACCCAGTCGACGATTCGTAAGCGTAGCTACGAACAACTCCAGGCTTTAACTACGGCGATTTTCGACATTTCTCATACATAGTGTACCAGAGTTTGCCAGAGAATGATATGGCACGATATCATTTAAGCGTCCAAGGCTCCGTTACTGAACGGAGTATCCCAGAATATGTGATTTATTTCGCGATTATTCAATGGCAGTTTTACTGCGAGCCCTAACCGAAAAATGACCCAGTAATATCTCGATATAACAAAGCGTTTGGGACAGAAAAAAAAGCTTCGTTATAAACGAAAATTCGCTGAAACTAAGTTAAAATCTTATTGTGGGTATTGGACAGGGGCCGAAACAAAAAGCTTGTCAAAAGCATTGAATCGATCAAACGAGATTCTACTGCATTTCATTTACTTTAAACGCTCATAATAGTCAGTCCACTCTATCCTATAATAAAATTTTTTAATTTTCTAAAATGAATGACGTAATTTTTCAGGCTGATAGCGCGTCGAAATTTGAAGGAATGTCAGTAAAATTATTTCGCTTCATCCTCGAATTTTATCTTCCCGCCTGTAAACTAAAACTTCATTTTGTACGTTTTGAAAAAAAAAGCGCTTCTTACACCACACAGAGATATCGTGCCCAATATCACGTGATTTCAACAAAAGAGAATTAAATCTGGAAATCCTTTACGGCCATTGATGCAAAAATTCATTTTCTTTACCATCGAATGCTTCCTCACGAACAGTATGAAGAAATCCCAGCGTAGATCATAAAAAAAGGAACTGAAACTTGGAACGAGAGAAGCCTCAAATTCCATTTTACTTCCGACATTTCGGATAATTATTAATTGAAAAAATACTGTAGGTCATCGTCATGCAGTCATACGTACCCCGTTAAGACACCCCGCAATAAACCGCCACTCTCGGAAACTGCGAATTTATTTTCGCAAACAAATCTTCCTTGACGGTAAAAGCATTGGAAACCCCATTAGAACGCCTTCCGCCAAAATTATCATGATCTTTTTATTTGATATCCCGCCGAAATGCTTCGTGCTCAAGTTTGGGGAGGTCTCCGATTAAAAATAACTACGAACACAACGATGAAATAATTTACTTCGTTGGAACATCAGCTAGACATAATTTGCGCATCCCAGAGTTATTTTCATTGTTTTCCAGAAAGTTCGAATAGTATTTCCTTCCTATATTTAATTTTCATATTGTTTCAGCTCTTTTATTGAACTACCAATCCCACTGATTTGCCACAAAGAAATGGCGGAGGCCTATTGAGGTTTGACTATAATTTAAAAAAAGATCCCTTGTGATTTTTCCAACCACCAGAAGCACTTGAGAAAATTGAATGTAGGAAAGAGCCCTAACCAAGGAACTTGTTAGCCAGAAACTGGGCATTCAAAATTCCAGGACTAGAAGGCCTTCTACCCCAACAAATGACGAAGAACCCAGAAAATCCCAAGGAAAAGGTCTAGAATCTACCAGATCATGCATTCGCGTCATCGCGCGATTCAACGAGTTCCTTCACAGAAAGATGAAACCCGCAGCATTGTCGAGAATAATTTCGACGAAGCATACAATATTCGAAGGAAATCAGCAGAAGGAAACGCAAGAACAGCAGAAAAATAAACGGTGCTCACCTTTCGAGAAGCCGATCTCGTTCGGCAGTTGAGGCACGAAAGCGTATTTGGCCATCGCCTGGCCCGGATTATTCATCCAAGGCCCGTTCATAAGTTCAACGTAGGAAACCGGGAAGATCCCTCTGGAAGCATGTCTCTCACCTTCGTACCAATTCTTGTCTATTCTCCGTCCAACGTAAATCAGATCTCCTTTCATGAAGCTCAATTCTCTGCAACAAATCCCCGAAGAACATAGACTGCTCATTAGCTACAAAGATTCAAATTCGGCTCCCTGCCAAATTTGAATTATTCGCAGAACGTCGAAAATATTATATGATTTAAAAATAACATAATATTATACAATACATGAACATTTTTTGGGAGTTTTGTAGACTTCGGCTCTGTAGATCACACTAGGCTTTTTGTGGGCTTTTTGTCAAAAATTCTGCAAATATATCCCAGATTTGCCGCAGAAGAGTTAAGTAGACTAGTGAAGTATCACCAGTCCAGAAAAGATACGTCATTCACACAAGGCGTACTCAACAACAACTTTCCAGATGTCCAGATTTTCGAATACATGGGCATCAGCTGAGAATAGTTTAAATACAGTATAATCTCGTTAAACGACTATTCGATAACAACGAAGTCGCTTTTTAGATCCCAGACCAATGGTCAGAATGTTAAAACAGTTCTTTTACAAGGGATTTTCGTTACAATGAATCTATTTTTACTGTTCCCAACGGCTTTGCATTGTAACGAGATTTTACTGTACTGCGGCTAAACTCACTTCGCGTTCTGCGCGTGGAAGTCGTAAAGGGCTCTGGCAGTGATCCTCTTGTCTTCACTCCATCTCGGTCGCTGAATGATGACTGGAGGAGGCCTGGTTGCCTCCAATCCATCATAACGGTTCCCTGGTATCAAGGACTTTTGCAACGGACTGCACCCAGAAATCATGAAACACGGAATCAGAAAATACCCTGAAGTATAGTTTTACCCAACCCATGGTCCGCGGACTGGCACCAATCCACAGAAAGTTTTTCGCTGGTCCGCGAGGAATTTTCTTGAGCACAACAATTTTATCAAAAGTAGCAATGCAGTTTTATTTTTAACTGAACATTCAGAAAAATTTGAAGTTGAAATTATCTGATGAAAAATGAAAGTTGGCTTTTCTCTGGATAAAAATTGAGGCAAAGTTTCCACTGCTCAAATAAATTATATCCGTATTTACTCGAGTACCACGGGCACCTTTTTTCTCAGATTTCAGAAGAAAAAAAGGGGCGCGCGTCATAAGCGGGTCCAAATTTTTCAAGAAGTTTTAGGAAATTATGTGTGCATTATACTTAATCATAATGGAGAAATTTGGAGAAAATATAGCAAGGAAACTTTTTTGTACTGAAAAAGTTGAAAATTGATCAGATCTTTGTTCAATTCATGTCTACAGTCAATTTTTTTGTATTTATTTTCAAAGTTTTGTGGTTTTAGATTCACTAAAAATTGGGGTGCGCGTCTTACTTGGGGATAAAATTTTAGCCAAATTTTCAGCTGGAAAACCCCTGTGCACGCCTTACTCAAGGGCGCGTGGTACTCAAGTAAATACGGTATTAGTTTTTCATTCTGAGAAACCTTTCTTCAAGCCCACCTTTCTATTTGTCTGAAGACATTCTGTTATAGCTGCTTCATTGGTTCTTGACTTGATTTTTGAAAGAAGAAAAGCAGAAACTTTTTGAATACCTGCTGTAAAGTCTTCCAAACAAAACTTTGAGTCTGGAAAAATTTCATGAAACTTGGCCAGTCCACCGAAAATTTTTTTGAACTTTGTTGGTCGCGAAATATTTATTTTCTAATTTGTCAGTCCGCAGGCTCAGAAGGGTTGGTGAATACTGCCCTACAGACTTGGCTATAGTTCTTGTACCTCATATAATCCTGATGCCGTCGCATCTCCGAATCTTGCAGCTCTTGCAAATATTTCTTCCTCCTCTCCTCCTGATAGCGTTTTCTCAGCGCAGCTTCCTGCTGCATACGCAACTGCTGCTCCGGGATCCATGTTTTCTCTTCCAACCTCACCGGTGTCCTGTAATGAATGTTCACCTCGCTTTCCTGGTATTTTTGCACGGGTCCTATATAGAGAACAAAGAAATACGGCGACCTGAAGACCAAAATGTCCCGACCAGAAGTAAATAAAAAACATGCTGAAACCACGACCACAAGGGTTCCCACTCGGGTGAACCGCGGTGCCCTACAAAAGCAACAGCAAAATATTTTCCGATGACGGGAGTAAAATTTTGCTTGCATGATAAAGGCCATTTCCGATAGGTGATGCATTGTTCATGAAACATGCTCAAAAGTTGTACAATTTCCGAATCGAGCTTGGCGTGAAACCCGCGGATGCGTGGGAAAAAGTAAATCCCGATCCCGCACTTCTACCTGTGAAATTATCATCCGGCATCATATATTTGGGATTCCCTCGTAAAATAAATTGGCGTCACGTAACAAAAGCATTTATGCTTAACGCCTGGAAAAGTTTCGTATTAATACTTTCTGACATCAAGTACGAAAAAAGGGCTTCCGAAAAATGTTCATGCAAAAAACAAAAATGATGAAAATTTCTTGATGAAGGTGAAATAACTGTATAAAAAATATACCAATGTATACGATTTTCGATTCAAATTCCACCCGACTGCCGGGCTAGAGTATGCAAGAGAAAACATTATCGTTTAAGAGGGTTGTCCCACTTGAGCGCGACCTTGGTTAGTTCTTGAGTAGGCATGACTGTAAAAATGAATCAAGATATTATCAATGATTTCAGAATCTGAGATTTTTTTGGATTTTCAAAAACAACTTTCTATTTGCTGCATGATGATGAGTAAAAACTTCCCAGTTATAGACGGGATTCTCCATCCATGTCACAGGGTGCTAAAAATTTTTAGGCCAGCTGATAATTGAAATTTCTCTGGTGTTTTAACCATTGCCTAACCGAAAAGATAATGGTTCAACCAGCAACAAAAATTCAATTTTTTAGCTGGCCTGAGAACTATTAGCACCGTGTCACAGGGGTGGAGAATTCTGGCCATAACCGGGAGGTTTTTACTCATCACCATGCATTAAATTAAAAATTGTTTGAAAAAAATCACAGAACTTTAAAACATTGCTTAAAACAACATGAGATTAAAAGGCGTTACAAACAGTCATTTCCGTCAAGAGAATGAACTGTTCAAAAAGCTTTCAATGTGGATAAACAAATTGCATCGAGATTTTTGTGCTGTTTCGAGCATGCACTTTTTTTTGAACGCGAACTTCTTGCGATCACAAAACGGCGTAATCACGAATCCCGAAAACCAGCCGAGTTCAGAGTGAGATTGCGCAATCATTCATGAAATTTTTTCTCTTCAGCACAGCTGACGAGAACAGATGTCGGTGCTAACCCTAATCCCATAAAAGCAGGAGAAGCGGTGATTAGAAGGCAGGGGTGCATCAGGGTGCTGGTCACCCCATCCAAGAGCTTCTGATTGGTGGCACAATCAAGCTAGCGTCGTAACCTTTCCAGGAGTTGGCTCTTCTCGACGACACGTGTGGCACATACGGCACACCGACAATGTTGTGCCCACTATCGACACGTCGGGGCTGGCAATGCCTACTACTCCTGGTGTCGATGACGGGCGGCGGAGTGTACCTTTCCTTGGGTCGGTGTTTCGAGGGGTCAAATGGCTGCGACGCGAAGGACTGTCGCACGGGACTCGACAGAGGCGTCGAAATGGCGCAAGGGCCGGTGTCGACGACCAAGTCCGGCGACGACCGGGACCTCGGGGCGCCGTAAACCACGTGACTCTTCTCCAACCGATCGGATATCCGCTTAACCTGGCCCGAATTCCGAAAGTAGTCGGATGCCCGGAAAGACGCCACNCGGGTCCCTCTGGGACGCCTTTTGCTGAAAGCTAACGATTCTGCTCAGGGTTTTCGTTCGGGACGCCTCGGGGTCTAAAACTTGCCTAGGGCGAAGTAATCGCGGGGACACGGAAACGGCGTCCCCGCGTTTCAACATTTTCGGCGACTTATTCTCGGGTCTTTCCTCGCGTTTCGGCGACGCGGACTGAGTCTTTTTTCTTTTGGCAGCCAGATCTCTTTCCACCTGCCTGTCGATCATTCGGCGGGCTTCGATTTTATGCCTCATTCGAAGAACATCTCCGCACTTCACTGTGGACAAGTAAGTCCGGTTATACTTGGTGCAACTCCGGTCGAGGGAACGAGTCCTCAGCTGTTCTTGTTCGATGGAACTCGACAGCGTCAGTCTGTTTACTTTCTCGTGCATGACAAAGGGCTTGAGTTTATTCCGATCCGTTCCAGTCGTCAAGTCCAGCGAAGAGACTGTTCTTACAGGCACGTAGTGTCGAGTCATTTCAATCGGTGCTTTCTGAGAATCGGAGACTTTGACGTCCAAATTCAAAGCATCAATGTTCCCGAGCGGACGCTGATCTTGTTCTAGCCCCAGGGTGTGGAGCCCGGTTTCAATGTCGGGCGCAGGGGTAATTAAGCCCTTCTGCTCGAAAAACTTGACTCGGGAATCGAATGTTGGCTTGACGACGGTCTCGCCGGATTTGAAGCTGTCTGTCGACTCACTGAGTCCCCTGCACTTGTTACCAGGAGGATTCAGCACTAGGACGAAGCTGGATTTGTCCGCGTTACTCGTCTGGTCTTCGGAAAGAGTCATGGATGACATGGTGCGCGGCGAGGTCATGCTCGCAAACGCGGGTTCTTCGCACTTGGTCACTTCCGCGGGTTTCTTGGGGAGCGGAAGCGTGCTGCATTTCGCGGGTTTCCGGGGTCTGGAGTTCCTGGAGCTCTTGGCTAAAATCCCGTCCAATTGTCCCCTCAGAGACGTGAGTTGGTCAGTGGACAGGCTCCAGGCGCGACGAGTCGGGCTCGGGCTGGATTGGCGAACCTGGGATTCCACGTGTTGCTTTTCAATGCTGTCGAAGCGACGAGCGACGTTTTGGACTGACGAGCTGCGCCAAAGCGGCTTGTACGTGTCTTTCGGCACAGACGCGCACCTGGGTTTCAAAAAGGTCGCGTTGTTGGAGAACTTTTGACGCAGGTCTTCTACGGATGAATCCCGCAATCGGAGGTTCATATCGCCTCTCCATCGCACCTGACGCTCGTCCTTGCATCTGAAGGCAAATAATACTTCAATCAATTTCAATCCGCGAGGAAATAAAAACCGCATTTATTCGAGTATCACGCGCACTTCTCCCTCAAAATTGAGAGGAAAAAAGGTGGTGCGCGTTTAGGTGGAGATGAAAAAAAAAATTTAAAAATTTAAAAAAAATTAAAAGCATAGGGAAATTTTCGACAGGCACTTTTTGAAAGCCAAAAGAATTGAAAATTAATTGTATTCACGTTGAATTCATGGTCAAATTTGAATTCTGGTGTCGCTAATTTTTGAAATATTTCAGTTTTTACTGAAAACGGGATGAGCTTCTCACTCGGGGAAAGAATGTTTTCAAAATTTTAGGTCGAAAAATTGGCGTGCGTGCCTTAATCGAAAGCGCGTGGTACTTAAGTAAATACGGTACTCAACGGACTACTTCGAGAAGTACAAGATTTATCCAGTACTGTACTCCAAAAATTAGCTTATTGCAATAAAAACATATCAGAGGGTTACTTTTTATCTGACCAAATCAGGTGCCCGGGAAAATTCCAGAGAGAACCATCATTATAGAGATTCAAGGTTGAATATTTTTTTAATTTTCACTCATGGATTTTACCGAGTTCTTGAAGTGATTTTTGCGTTAATCTCGTAGTTTTTGTTGTTGTGTATAAACGCTTAGACGGAGAACATTGTCAGATTTGCAAGCAGTGGTACCTCTTGAATGCACAATTCTCAAAGCATTACATGTGGAATTTTATAACTCGTGTCACAGATGGTTTCTGTACGGAAAAAAAAAAATTTGTCATCACGAAAAGAAGAAACCGTTCACCAGAATGAGCACGAAAATGGTCTTCGAAACCATTTTTGTGAACTGAAAATCTAAATTTTAATCCAAGACGCGGGCTGATTTTCTGAGACAAAAAGCAAGAAGAAAAAGTTAGGAATATTCGCGTGGATATGGCACGCAAATTTGTGAAAATGTTTGCCCCGAGGCTCGTATATAGCTTACGCTGTTCGAATAAGAACAGTCGATTAAATATGTACCTGAAGTGGAAATTCCTTTCCTTCTGCGCAGTTTCCAACTGACCCCGCAAGTCTTCCAACTCGGATTTGGCACGCTGAGTGGCTCGGAATTGCTTCCAGTTATCAAAGTCGATTAAATTCTCTCGCGCGAGCTGCAACAATACCGCGTTCGTGGCGGTTTTCTCCAACGAAGCCACCTTCTCCAGGGTGAAATACAACTTCTTCAGTCGCTGGAATTTGTCGGATTTCTGAGAAGAGTGAAATAATTCGTAAATGTAGCGATGGTATTTGTTGGGATCGATCGAGGCCAGGATCGACATGTTCGGGGCCCCGGTTTTCGTGTTCCCGCGCGGATCCGAAGACTCTCGCTTCTTCACAGCTTGCTTCACCAACTGAGTGGACTTGGGCAACGTTGCGGATTTCTCTGGTCTGGTGTAATAAACATCCGGATGCGAAGACTTGGTCATCAATGTGGAATGGGTTCGCTTGAGGCCGGCGTCTTGGCGCCGGAACACGGATTCCGTCACTGGGTTCCGACGGGCCGAGTAGCCCGTGAGACGCACTTCGGTCGGGTTCTCCAGAGACTGGCAGCGACGGCTTTGCTGCTGACGAGGGCTCGTCTGGCCTCGAGAACTGCGGTCTTCCCCCTTGTCGAAGACACACGCCTACTCCCAGTCTTGGGCAGCCAGCTTTACGCTTTAGCAGTTTGCTTTGCCCCAGAGCTGTTATTGGTATGCTTCCAGTGCTCTCCTGCTGGTTGTAGAGTATTAGCGATTCTATTTACGTTCATACCACATTCTGAAACTTTAAATCAGTTTTTGTACTTATTTATCGAATTTTCCTCTTCGATTTGAATAATCTGCGATCCTCAAAAATAACTGAGACATTAATCTTAATTGCTTAAATTAATTCAAGAATATTGGCAGGAGAGTTGTGAAGTCAATTTGGTACTTCTCTTCTGACGCTACTCCGCACCCTATTTCACGAATGAATTTACTTCTGCTGCAACAGCAACCCAAATAACCTATCATAACCATATGGCTGACTACTGTAATCACTCAAGTACCCCGTACTCATTTCAATTAAAAACTACTTTATGTTCAAAAAGTGGGGTGTGCGTCATAATATTAAGCAGATTTTAGTGACGTCTAACGAAGAAAGAGTTATTTTTTTAGTGTCAGAAGGGAGGAAAAATATATATTTAAACTGAAATTTAGAAAAAAACAAAAGAAACGCGGAGTAATTCAAGACCTAAATTTCAAATTTCAGTTTTTTTCTGAAAAAAATTTATTTCCGTGTTAGGGGAACAGCTTCTGTGTGCGGATGAGGGTCAGAACCCGTCGGTCGAAATGCGAAATCGTCAAACGAAACGGGGTCTCGACAATAACCATACGAAGGTCACGAGAGGACGACCAACATCTCATAATCAGATTCTATTTACGTTCATACCACATTCTGAAACTTTAAATCAGTTTTTGTACTTATTTATCGAATTTTCCTCTGCGATTTGAATAATCTGCGATCCTCAAAAATAACTGAGACATTAATCTTAATTGCTTAAATTAATTCAAGAATATTGGCAGGAGAGTTGTGAAGTCATTTTGGTACTTCTTTGCTGACGCTACTCCGCACCCTATTTCAAAAATGAATTTACTTCTGCTGCAACAGCAACCCAACTAACCTATCATAACCATATAGCTGACTACTGTAATCACTCAAGTACCCCGTACCCATTTCCATTAAAAACTAATTTTTGTTCAAAAAAGTGGGGTGTGTGTCATAATATCAAGCAAATTTTAGTGACGTCTAAAGAAGAAAGAGTTATTTTTTCAGTGTCAGAAGGGAGGAAAAATATATATTTAAACTGAAATTTAGAAAAAAACAAAAGAAACGCGGAGTAATTCAAGACCTAAATTTCAAATTTCAGTTTTTTTCTGAAAAAAATTTATTTCCGTGTTACAAAAAACCAGGCTGCTGCGGGGAATGTTTTTACGCAAAATTACGATACACTTTTGAGATGAACGTGAGTTTCTACATTTCGGTCATCTACTGTTTCTAAAAAAAAAAATTAGTAGCATTCAACTTCGGTATGAGCAAGATTTTTCTCCCCCAGAATGTATTATGCCCGTGAAACTTTTTTTCAACTGAGTAAAATTAAACTAAAAGGTAGACAATAATTCAGACATTGTTCGCCAAAAGTCAACTTTTTCTTGCAAAGGTCGACTTGGTGCGGAAACTTCTTTCCTCATTCATTTCGAATGAAGATACTGTACACGCTAAGTTGTTCGAGGTATTCTATCAGGAATCCGTTCCTTCCAACCTCGACCCCCACGCTCCCCTCAACTTCCGTTATTTTGGTATTTCATCCTTCGTTTTTGCGGGGACATGTAAAATAGAATTTCGAATAACTTTTTCACAAATTTCATCTAAGAAAACAACCGCAGAAAATTAAGAAACCTTCATGAATCTAGCCTAAACAAAGAATGAAACTAATCTATCTAACATTAACTAAAAATAAAATGAATAGTCTAATCTAAAATAACCACAAAATAAAATAACTAAACGAACTGTAAAAATAAAGTGTTTATAAGTCTTAACTGGAAGAATTCAGAGAATTTCTAAAAAAAATCTTCGAAAATGAGAGGAAATCTGAGTTTCGACGTCCCTGGGCCCCCCGTTTGAGTATTTCGCATTTCGTCACATACCCTCTGAAAAGCGCCTGGGTCAGCTTTCGAGTCCGGGGATCCGCAAGTAATTTCCAGCATACTCCCGTATCCGGTCTCATTCGTGTCTCGAGACTGCGGACTGAAGGACATATTGTGCACAATGGACGGCGGCATCGGCGGCGGCGGCGGCGGTGGGACAGCAACATCCTCTCGTTTCTTCTCCACGGGCTTCTTCCTAGTCGACTTCACAGTCGGCAAAAACGGATCCTTCTCCACGGGCGTCCCACATCGGGCGTGATACGACTTATTACTGATCGTCTCTGGCTTACTGGTTTTCGCAACCCCGCGAGACAAGGACTTATTCGTTTTGCACTGAGTCGCCGCCACGACTTTCGCCTCTACAATGACGGGTTTCCTCACGGGGATCATGGTTTCGTCTTCTTTCCCGCGCTTTTTGCGCGTCTTGCCGTTCCCGGTCAACTCGGGCTTGGCAGACCGTTTCGTCTGCTTCGTCCGCACACTTTTAATAGTCGTTTCAGTGGAACTAGACCGGGTTTTCTTGGGTTCCGCGTCCTTCTTGGCGGGTTCTTTAGCGGGAGAGCAGCTGCGGCTCCGAGTCGGGGACGCCACTTTGTGGAGCCGGGACCATTTTTGGAGAGTGACGACGTTTCGGGACGACTCCCGGAACGGAGGGAACGGAAGCATGTCCGACGCCAAGCTGGGGGAAGTGCGACGGAACCTCGCAAAAACGGGTGGGTAGGCTGCACGAATGGGCTGACTGCGGGACCGCTGCAAAGAGGGCGCCACTTGCACGTGACGATGCACGCGCACTGTCGGACTGGCTCGCTCGAAGTTCAGCTCGTACTCGGCGATGCCATCGTCTATTCGTTGTTGTTGTCGGGATCCGGGGGACCAATCGAGTAAGATTAGAGTCAGGGTTAGTAGTTGCGAATATTACGAAACAAAATACTGTACAGTTGGACCTCTTCAGGTCAAATTTCAAGGAATTTGACAAGCAAAAAAAATCAGGGAAACGAGCGTTGGGGGAGGAAGAAGAGTCGCAAATGGGAATTGGTGACCTTCTGGGTCTAAAATTGCTCCTTAAATGAATTGACAGGATGCTCAACTAGGAGGCAAGGGTTCATTTGACCAAATACAGTAGTTGCTCACTTCCTTGAAATACGCATCAAGCTTCACTTTACAGCTTTTCTCTTTCCTGCGTCCAAGAAATGATGATCAAAAAGCCTCCAGAAAAATATAAGATGGAGGTTTGAGGGGGGAAAAGCCTTCGACTTAGGGAGGTTTTTAATGCATTATTTCTAAAGGAATTCAGACAGCGACTTAAATTTGACTTGGAGAGGTTCAACTGTCGGGCAAGATGTAACAAGTTGGCTGGTTACATCTCACCTCTTTCGAAGACAAGCACAAAAAGATTGCATTCAGAAAGTGAAGGAATTTCTGCAAATAATTTCACTGCCTAAAAAGTACCAGTCTTGACAACATACATTTCTCTACTGATAATTTTCGAATCCTGGGGGCATTTTTCAATCTTCGGAGGAAACAATTTCCTCCCGTTTATAATAAGCATCACACTCACACAGGTGCTCAGAAATTATGCACATTTCCGGAGCAGTACAATATTTTCCGGATTGGTGAAAATACCCCACTCACAGGCGAACGATTCATGAACAGTAGCGGAAAATCATCAACATCTTTGGGTTACATGAGTATTAGCGTTATTTCATACGGCGATTTTTCCCAAAACCACAATGAAATACTGTATTCGATGTTACCATAATCAAAAATTTCCACGGAAGACTCGTAGCTGAGTTAAAATTCCGTCGCGATTGACAGTGACATCTACCCAAGCTAGAACAATTCGTCATCGCATTCGACTCAGATTCATCTCACAGATTACATACTTCCCACTTCACAGCCACGAATGGAGCGCTTCAAAAAGTCACATCACGGGGGAACAAACCATCAGATGGATAAGATTCCACATTTTCCTCGGTCAAAATAATTCACATTACTACAGTATTACTCGGAGCAAAAACCCGGGAAATGTAAGCAAAGCCAATCAAGAAAAAATCCCGCTTCAACATACATCATCGACAGAGAATAAAATGGTGACCTGGGAAAATTATCTGAAGCTGGCAATCAGGAATGGAAGCGAGCACACGTATCG